TCCTAGACGTATAAAACACTGCGGACAACTTCCTTCGATCAGTGAATTCTTTTCACGACCTTGTTCATACCCGAATGTGAGTACATGTAAGCATATATTTCTCTGCGTGCCGATCCACTTAGTTATCTTCTATTTCATGGATGGAAGGTCCATGTCCTCAGTTCCAGTCCACGAACTAAGTGAATTGATGCGAAGTTCACTCAATGGCATGTGAAGAAACACTGTCTCCGAACACTGACTCCATTGTTACACTCACTCATTTTAATCAGCTAAGGCGGGCTTTTCCCCATCGGTCCTCGGGGTGTGTGCCGAAGGCATTTCGCATCCTTTAGGCACATAATCCGGGACACATACGGTTTTTCAGATTCCAACTGATATGTTAACTCTAATATGGCACATCAAGTTTGATGATTGTATGTGTACGCGTTCGCGAGAATTTTCCGAACCACTGGAGATGAGCTATTATTATTTCATGCAATATATCATGTCTAAAACATTATCTTTCATGTATTATCTCATCATGTGATTAGAAAATGGGTACGGATATAGCCAAATAAACTTGTCCTCTCATGAACCTAGTCACCTATTTTTTCCCGATAGCTCGGAATCTATTTACCCTTCACTATTCAGTTCAATGTTACCTTCTAGCGCTATCAAAAATGATATAGAAGGGTCTTTTGTAATCCACGTCTGCCAATATTTGTCTTCATCACCTGTTAACAAAAACCGTTTCTTCTCTTAAGCTTATTGGCACTACTTGGCAAATAGCTTCATTGATTTCTCTTTCCAAACGAAAAGATCACCAAAATTTCAACTGCAATCTAAACAATAAACATTGAGTAGCCTTGGTGACATTCATTATGGATAAACCTTTGATGGAGAGAGAAAAAATTCTAGACGAAATCGATAGATAAGGCACAAAACTAATTTTGGGGAACTTACCCATATTCGTCCAACGGTTTGATTTCCGTTTTACCACATCCTGTCCAAATTATTCTGGGATACGTATTGAAAAAGGTGGAATTTGGATGAACGTAACGTCTGTATCGTTTCTCTTTCAACAATTGATTTGTCATTCAATGAGGAAATGAAATGCCATCGTATTTGAAGTGACTACTAAAACGATGCGACCCACGCATTATTGAATCACATGAGCTCCCATCACTAATCCAAAAGCTAAAATAACTTTTCTTCTCCTTTGTTCAAGCGACGCGGATTTTAGGTCTGTGACTGGCCCAAAGTCACGCAACTTATTGATCCATTGTAATCGACTAATCCATCAGCATGTGATTCCTTTGTTCCGATTCAGTCTAAGACAAAGGGCACAGGTTTGGTTGTCATGCAAAGCACAACCAATGTATTGTGAGAAATGAAAAAATCACTCAGATCAACATATGAAAAGAAAGAAAGTGAGCCCGTGATATCGCGTGGTATAGATCATGTCTCATGATGGAAAAAATACAGCTGAATGAATCATTTAAAATGCCCATCTGAACTGTTTCTGTGTGTTCAGTCCTGGAACTTATTCAATACTGTCAAAATGAAATATAATGAACATATAGTTTTTTGCGTGTAATATTATGTACAATTCGACAGTTTTAAGTTCTTTAAAATCGACAATCTCGGACAACTGGATCGCGAACAGTATTTATACAACAAACGCGAGTTAGGCGCATCGATCTCACCGACTCAACGAGATTAATAATCGCATTGCTCTTTATCACACGTGCCGAAACCTGAGGTACCTTGCGTACAGCTATCTGTCGCTTCACGGCGTTTTCTAACAATTAAACGTTTACACGCACCGCATTTCGATTGGTTCTTTCCGGTTAACTTCCCACCGTTGACTATCACACATTTGCTTGTGCTGCCGTTTGACATTGTTGTGGTTTATTTACTCCACTATTACCTCACTGCTAGCCTGTTTGCTCAAGGTCCCCACTTGTTGAACCGCTGGTTTCACAGATTTCGATGTTTGCTGAATCGGTTAGTGCCACAGTACATTTTAAACTACTGTAATCAGCATTTCAGTACCGTTTTGTAAAACAAAGCGTTTTGTTGTAAAACACCTTCCTGTGGGTTTTTATCGCGTCACTCTACGTGGATTGTTATAGTCTATACACTGAATATGCTGATATTGATGAGTTCTCCGAGGACCCACCAACACCAACACCAACATCCGCATTCCGAACTACAATCATTCCACATTATTTCCACCTGTAAATATATCACCTTTTGGTCTTGTACAATCGCATATTCATGCTACTCTGAGTTTGACTTCACTGTGTTTTCTGTGTTTTCAGCACCAATCTCTTTACACATCCATAATATACCAACTGTATACTGATATACAAATATTACAACTAGCGTCAAGCAGCTATTCAGTGTCATGTAAACCCTTAATTTGGAGTTCAAGTATCTAGATTCACCTGTCTGTCAGATTTAGGAACACGTCAGCTGATTTGAACTTTGGTGCGTTGCATGCGACTTCGTTTCGGATGAGAAAAAGACAGCTGTGTTTGTTTACCGTCATTGGAAAAGCCGCTTATTTGGTGACCAAGAAACTTGCTTTAAGTAATAAATTCAAATCACTGAAATACGAAGAAATTTCTCAAAACAGACAGAAGACAAATACTACGAGACGTTAAAACTTCTTTTATTCTCCTCAGTGGCTACAACGTAAAACAATCTGGTATTCATATGATGAATTCCTCGTGTAAATGAGGAGTGAGCTGAAAGGCTGGGAAACACTGAGCAGTTGTTTCGACCTGGTTGGGTCTCATCAGCTCTACAGTAGTTTAACTGACTGCATCAGAAACGTTTGTGCGCACAAGATTGGGTTACGTAACTTGAGCAGCATAGATTCGCTAAACGCGAAAAGCGTGGGATTCGTGTTACGTAATAAACGCGTCAACGATGTGTCCAGTTTCTATGAGATGTTTTGCAATTAATAACTCAGGATTTCTCTTACCAGACTGACCTCTAAGGCTGTGTTGCGTCATTGATTGTACCAACCATTTGGGTATGTGTTCAGACATCCGTTGTGACAAGGACCGATTCGTTCTGCTGATGTAAGTGTTACCACAACTGCAGGTGAACTGGTAGAAGACATTTTGAAGCACAATCGTTTTCGCTTGTCCAAATGAAGTCCTTGAGTATACGGTATCAGTCGGTGCCGTGCGGCAGGAAACGTTCAATATAATGCCACCTTGAACTTCTGATGCACGTCGTTTATTACACGATCACCCGTGAAGGCAAGTTTGAGGAAGAAGGTTTTCTTCAGTACTTCTCTGACGGGACCAACCCTTGACTTTTGACTACTATACACCAATGAATTTCTCTGGATAACCATTATCCAATAAAGTTCTTTGCAGAAATGCCTCTCCTTCTTGACGAGTATCAGGAGAGCAGATATTCTTGACACAATGGAGCAATCTTCTCCAAACCATGTTTATGTAGTACGAGCGAAACTGGGAAATTGTATTTTCCACTCCATGTGGTCTTCTGGTAGACGGATCTTTTCAAGCTGCCATCTGATCGCCTCCTGATCTGCACATCCAGAAATTCAAACCGTTCTTCTCCTCCTTAAGGGAAACAGAGGGGTTAGGATGATTATTATTATGTAATGTAAAAATGGTTGTAAAATGATTAGGGTCAGTAAAAATCGGAAACTCATCGATAAAAACCATCGGTACAAAACATCCATTGAAATATTATTCTTCAATAGTCTTTCAACCATTCCTAGAAATGCATAAGCTAATGTTGGGCTTATGGAACCGCCCATTGCTACATCGTCAATTTGCTTGTACGCTGTTCCTCCAGAGTCAGAACGTATGTTCTCAGTGCAAACAATGATAAGATCATTTAAATAACCAATGGGAATAGGAAGCTGTATAGTTATTGAAGAAATATAATCACATGAAAGCGCTTACTATTTTATG